GGTGTTTTTCACTGTCAGAGGTAGTAACATTGGATTTGCCATTTCTGACTTGTTAGCCACCTTCATCCGGCGATATATCGGCTGTGGTTTGTTACCTGAGCTCAGCGCTTAGTGTGATTACTTTGCAAGAAAAAGCGTGTTAGACCGAAGCCATAAACGTTTGTTCCTGAGCTGAGGAGTGCGGTTCCAAGAGTAAGCATTATGTAGAATACGACCGTTCGTCTATTCACAATGCCAATTTCGTGAAGTCTTACGCCTGTTTCTCATATCCATCATAATCCAGAATTTTAACAACAGTTCTACGACAGGCGAGAAAAGACAGTCATTTTACTTCTTCCTTAGTGTTTTCCAAAGTTTTGCCGTTTCAAATACAGTTATTGTTACGCCCATCTGAAGTCGAAACTGTGAACGCTTTCCTGTTTTATCAAGATCTGCTGTGGACGGCCCCCGAACTTCTGCGTGAAGTCATTGTAGGGATCGCGGGGACTCAAAAAGGGGACGTCTACTCCTTCGGCATAATTCTTCAGGAGATTCTCTGCTGCTCCGAACCCTTCCCTGACTGTGACCTCTCGGCAGAGGAAATTGTCGAGAAGGTTCGTGCAGGCGATCCACCCTTTAGGCCCGAGGTACGTTTTCATTATGCACGCACGAGCAGGTATGACATCGAAAGTAAAATTAAATGAACATATATCTGTCGCAGTGCAGCAAGCATTTCTTTCGTTCGCTCCTCGAGAAGCTGACTTATTTGCTGTCCATAAAAACAGCTTGGATAGTATTCACCGTCCAGTCCGACCGGCGCATTCTGTCCAATTTCTCCAATTCCCTAATAATTTTGGGTCGGACCAGCTGTTGCATTAGCATTTAACGATTCCACACTACAAGGTTCATAATTTCCACATAAGAGATATATATTCCTGTATGCCTTTGATGAGATGCCATGTTGAAATCATAAAATATTGCAATGGATGCGGACTGCCTTTTACTTTTCACGATTAGCAATCCAAACGGTTTTGTGCGACGCTGCATGTATGTACATCGCATGGTCTTAAAAATCCCATACTTAGAAACTTTTTAAAACTTAGATATACGCCGTCATCGGGTATCAAATGTAAAGACAATTTTATTTTCTATTAAACAAGTAAAAGAAAGCACATTTTTGCGTTTTCCATAGAAATTATTTAAATTTATAAGGGCCGGATGTGGTTTTGCAGCTCTACCTGAAGTAAACAAAAGCAAGTCACCTCTAATACGGGACCGGTGGCAATAGCGGTTTTTACAGGTGGAGCCGGAAAACGCACAGGTGACGAGGTCAAGTAATTGTATGCAAAAGAAAAGATATTGGGAGTGCGTGGTTGTACTTTTACTCGTTGAGGAGTTGTTGCACTAGCCCCTAACCCTAGCCCTGACCCCTAACTATAACCCCTAATCCTAAACTCTAACTGCTAACTCTAACCTTTAAGCTTAACCCCTATCCATCACCCCTAACCATAACCCCTAACCCTAACTCCTAACACTAACCCTTAACCCCAATCCCAACAGGACTGTGTCCATCAAGTAGGGCTACCAAACCATATCTTGCCTTTATTGTAAGACCATCGAACATCAGCGTGAACAATCTATGCTAACTAAGTAGCCATTTCTACTGAGACTGGTTTCTATAAGAGATCGGAAATAAGTTCATTCAAAAGCCACCATCCCGCTGAGTCCGAAATACTATGGAATTATGTCGTTCGATAAGCAGCATTATAACCCCACCTAAGATATCCTTCCTGATCGAAAACGCATTTCAGAATTTCGGCCAACGCTATATCAGGTTAGTCACGCACTGTATGTGTTAATATGAAAAAATTTATATTTCCACCTGTCAGTTTTTCAACCTAAACAGACGACGAGAAAAAAAGCCATTATTAAGTCCCTTAATTTACTCTGTTCCCTTTTGAAAACATCGGTATGATTTACTCAGTCAAAGAACATAGTTCGTGCTATAGAGCAGATAGGAATAATCATCCCTAGTCACAAAAATACTTTGAATGTGTATGTTTTCTATTTCAGTCTGTTTATAATAGCTAACTTAGGGGAATCTTGTCTTCGAAAACTATAGACTGGACCTACAAATAAAAACGTTTTTAACCAATGATAATGGGTCACAGAAAAATCCCCTAAATGGCAGACACTCTCACGTTCGGGTTGTTCGACGTCACACTCCGTAGACTGGTTATAATTTTCCAGTTGACGATTACATGAAAAAAACGGCTGTCGGACATAATGAAGAAACGGCGGTTTGCCTCTTTTTGTCCAATCTTTACGGATGTCGTAGATAAGCTAATCAGAGTCTCACTGTGAATGCAAACATCAGGTGAAGTCCCAGGCAACAATATTTCGAAAGACAAGAGGGATAACCTGCAAATCTACACGAGACCTAACCATTGTCACAGATGGCAGTACCACGCACGGTGGAAGGAAAGGACGCTGGCAGTTTCGTCATTCAGGGTCCTTCGTATGGCATGGGTTGCTTTGGTTTTGGGAGCGTTCAGAAGAAAGTAAACTGACCTTGGTGCTACAATGCTCGCGTGTGTACGCAGGCATGTTTCCGCGCACAGATAAGGTGAGGTGATCGAGGGACGATCCGCATATAAAGCACTTTATAATCAATGCCGTCTGTAGTTCTATTATTTCGAGGCTGCTGTGCATTCCACAGATGATATAGGCAAGCAATGTAAAACATATGGTTTATGACTGGCCAGCAAGTAATCCAGCAAAATATTTTTCTGGTTTTCAGGTGAACATTCCAGAGATCCCATATTTTTACAAGGATCTCATGCGATCTTCCTGGACAGAAAACCCGGATTTCCGTCCAACATTCCAGGAAATTATCGTACAGCTGGAACAGTATAGCAGTGGAAAGTGAGTTAAACATCCATGCTGCCCACATTTTGTCGTAAACAGTTCTGCAAGGGAAGAGGAGATGATTGCGCATAGCAAAAAGATCGTACTTAATGGTTGTTAAGTCCTTACTAACCCGAATTCGCTTTGTTAATAGAAACTTGCTATTGTATCAAATTTTAAAGTTGTCGAATCTTTTGGGTTTTTAGTTTTTAGGCTGTTTTATGAAGCCTTGCATGCAAGGAATATAAGCTTAAAATGAACGAAGCTACAACGATGGCAATATCATACGATTACTTCTGAATGTCT